CTGTCTTGCATGGGTTTAGAGGGCAATGAGATGTCCCAGGTAGATGCTTCTTGGCATTATCTGGGGTCAATGCAGTCTTGGTAGACTCTTTTTTGTAATTATTAATTTAAGTAGTAATCCCCATCAGTGGATTATATTATTAGCTCAGAGTGCTTGGGTGATTTGCCGAAATTCTCAGCATTTCATAATGGTTAATCCAGATACATCCGGAAAGAACTGTATAGAAATATATTTGTCAGATAATCGTATAGGCACCCTTGCATTTGCATCTCTAGATGCCGCTGGTGGCGCACCTTGGCCTTTGAGGAGCTGGTGTATGTAGTCAATAATTATTTCAGAGTTAGGCAGGCAGGGACCAACCGACAGAGGTGTTATTTGAAATAGCCCTCCGAATCAGAGTTAAGGACATCATCTGGTAATCCTTAGATTCGTACATTATTTTAGCTGCAAATTAGCAATTTCATCAGCCACAGCTGTGTAGTTATCTTCAAAAAGTTATAAGAGGCAGTTATGTCATCCCTATTAGACTCTTAACTTATCTGTGCGCTCCCTTACAGGGACTCTATAGTCACCAGAACAACTACAGCTTATTGCATTTGTTCTGGTGAATAGAAACATTCCCTTCTGGCTTCTTGCTGTAAACACTGCCTTTTCAGAGTAAATACAGTGTTTACATTACAGCTTAGTGATAACTCCACTGGCCATTCCTTGGATGACTGCTATAGGTGCTTCCTTGGGCAGTGCAAGTAAGCAGCACTGCCATTCAGTGTCTCCACCCTCTGCATGCAGACACTGAACATCCCTCATAGAAATGCATTGATTTGATTAATCTCTATGAGGAGATGGTGATTGGCCGGGGCTGTGTTTGACTTGTGCTGGCTCTGCCCCGATCTGCTTCCATGTCAGTCTCAGCCAATCCTATGGGGAAGCACTGTGATTGGCTCAGACCACCACTTCTGACGATGTCAGCAGACAGAGGTGGTTCACAGGCAAACAGAGGAAGAGCCAGGAGCTCTTACTTGAATACAAGTAAGATTTTACTATATTTAGGAAGGCTTTAGAAGGGGCTGAGGGGTTAGATTGTGGTTTTAACTCTATAGGGTCAGGAATACATGTTTGTGTTCCTGACCCTATAGTGCTTTTTTGAATTTTTAACCAGTTTAGTCTTTACTCAATTCATATGTTATATTTCTAATTTTATCAGTGTAGATTGGATCAGTTGTATTAGTCCAGTAGATAAGATGCCGAAATACCAGAGTATTGCAGTATGCAATGATACCATTTTTTATTGGACTAACATAATGTTTAAAAAACAAGCTTTTGACAGTTTTCCTCTCTTTCTCAGGTCTGAAGCAATACTTAGGTCTGAACTCTATTTTTAGTGTTTAACACTTCAAAAATGTTATAGAAAGGGAGGGAGGGGGGGTGATTAGGGTGTCCTTAATAGCAGAATATCACCTTAATCTAAAACCTGGTCCCCTTTGCACCTCCAAAGGTCATTTCTCTAGGCATGACCTTTCACTTCTCCCGATCTGCCATGGCCACAAGTTGTACAGCTGACCCCGTGGAAAAATGGACAAGGGGAGCTAGGCCTTTCTCTCATCCTCTCAAACCTCAGAAGGGTCACTCACATTTCTGAGGGCTGTGGTACTTTTCCAGCCTGACCAGCTCATTATTGGATAGAAAGATACTCCTTTCAATGTTCTCAAATTTCCAACTGTTTTATACATTGCAATATACATATTATTCCAATTACAAGTTATATTTCTTGTTTAACCGTAATCCATTTCTGCTGATCCACAATAAGAGAAAACACAATATACCAAGTCAGGTAAAATAGATGCCGATACACCTTTATTCATTTGTTGTATGATACTTTGATTTCATGTATTTGTATTTTGCACTATATGTTATTCATATTTAATCATTTTTTTTTATTCTGTAACCCTCAAATATGTTATTTGTTAATATATATATATATATATTACAAAAATTCTATAAAGAGTTTCCAAAAATAAAAAAAAAGTATTTAGTCTGGTCAATTTTAAATGATTCTTGACTAATATTAATATTTGGTGCACCTATGTAAATTATAGAATGTTTTTGAGGAGGGATATCAGATAACCCGCGATCATTTAAGAGAATAGGCTAAAAAAAAATTAATATTTTTCTGATTTGCTTAGCATTTGTTTTACAGCCTTGGTTGTAAAAAAAAATAAATTAATTTTTAAAAGCTGTGATTGTGCCTTTGTGCAATGTGAAAAATGGTCCCAACAAATCAATATTTGGATCATCATTAATTCTAGATTTGAAGGATACTAGGGAAACCAGCTTGCATCTTAGCTCATTCCCCCTTCCCCTCCCCCCCCCATTGCCCCTAGCTTTTAATCCAATCATGGTTACACTGCTACTTGCAGGAAGTGGGTCATTGCAAATATTATTATGGGATGGGAGTGTAAGCTTTTTCTTGGGGCAATGCCGGCAAGGGAGATGGTTATTTCTTTTGCCAACGCACAGTGTGCATTAACGACAGATGTACAATATGCACAGAATTGAAATTTGGCGGTATGGAACAGAGTTTCAAGCTGCCAAAGTCACATGTGCCAGGGATGTAACTTGCCCCCGGCACAAACATTAATATATATCTGGATGTGCAGCATTTCAAGCAGAAGCGCTGCACATCCAGTCTCTTACCACCATGACCACTTGAACTCACTGGAGTAAATGCTTTAACCTTATTGTCTCAATATGCACATCATGAGAGTAGGAGGATTTTTAATACTGCTCTTTATTTGTGCACGACTTCTACATTGCAACTAAATAAGTGGTCCCCTTACTGCCCATATTTTATTTAGCAGAAACCTTTTTTCATACATCTCCCACAATCCAGCAACTTAACTTAAGATCCGAGTGAAAGTTATTTTCTAGAAATGTATACAAAATTGGTGAGCACAGACATTTCTCTTTCCAAGACATCTATAACCTCATGCATGTTTTTATTTATTTCATTTTTTTTTTTTGTTATTGCAGGTTCATGGGCTTAAGGCTGCCTGGGAAGATCCTGTTGAGTGGGTTAGAGACACTCTTCCATGGCCCCTGGCACAACAAGACCAATCCAAGCTATTACATCTACCCCAGCCCAGTATGGTTACCCACATCTCAGTGTCAACTGCCAGAGAGCAGACCGTGAAGGAATCACCACCTGCATCTTTGGAAACAGACCCATTGGTATGGTGGTATTGCTGTATGGCACTGTGATTGTTGCTGTTGGGAGTTGAGAGAGAGAGTGTGTAAAACACTTCATACCTTCCATTTTTGTATCAATTATAAAATATGGCATTGGTTTGAGTGTATCAGTCTAAAAAAAAATACCATATTTACCCAATACTCCCTGTCATTTTTTTCCAGATGGCAATGCTACTAAAACTTCAAGAAGCTGCCAACTACATTGAGTCACCAGATAGAGAAACCCTATGTGACACTGACCTTACAGCCACAATATAATGTTGGATAAAGCGTGGTACGCTGCTACTAAACCAATTGAACTAATTGCACACGTCCTTCTCACGTGATACATAGCGAGGAGATCGGCTATTGCTGTTCCTTAGTTTTGAACTCCGTATGGACTCACCTTGCTACCTTGCTATCATCAAGGATCCTCTTGAATTAACTTAAACATTCTAATTAGGGATTGTGGCAGAAAGCATGACAACAGACTATTTTTTTTTTTATTTTTTTTTAAGGGTTAAAGAAAAAAGGTTTGTAGTTTTCCCTGACTGATGTGCAGAAAAAAGTTTGAAGAGATGGGAAGAATGATTTTATTTTGTTATTAGTAATCTCATAAATCAACAGTAATTCATCCCTGTACTTTATTTCTTGCTAGCTATAAATCTCAACCTGGAGCATTCCATTTGGCAAAGTTACATTGTGCAAGAACAGTGGCAACAACTGTCCAGGCATAAACAGAAGTTCTCCAATGCAAACTTTATTAGAACATAAGAAGTTGGCAATATTTCTGATTTGCCATAGAGCCTTACTCAAGTTATCAGAATTCCCACCATGTCAAATTTGGCCGTGTCAAATTTGGTATACCAGGATTCACACACCCTCTCAATTACATATATGTGTGTAAAACAATAATGGTGTAACACACATACCAAAACAGTGATGAAACCTGTAAGCACAAATATACCATGGGCCGGTGATGTTCCTTTCACCATCCATGATGACATTCTAGGTATGCTGTGAAAAGAATGGGTAATACTTGTACTTCTGTTTTACTGGTTTTATTGATTGTATGAATACTTATATAAATTTGACATGGTGGAGATTCTAATTTAAGACGAGGAGATAAATAGTCTTAAATTAGAGGGGCAAAGGTTTAAAAATAATATCAGGAAATATTGCTTTACTGAGAGGGTAGTGGATGCAGGCAAACTTAAAAATTCAGCTGAAGTGGTAGGCATAAAGCTATCCTAGCCATAAGATAAGGCCAGGGACCTAATGAGAGTATTTAGGAAATTGGGCAGACTAGATGGGCCCAATGGTTCTTATCTGCCGTCAAAGTCTATGTTTCTAAATATCTAATCTTTCATTTAACTGTCTTCAGTACTATCATACCAATTGAGTTGCCATGCCAAAATGTCACCAAAAGCCAGGAACCAGAAGTGACACACTTAATGTTGAGTTGAGGCCTGAAAACCAAATGCTTTATCTCAAAGTGTCCAGTAATCATTTGAAATGTTAATCTACAATCAACATGACAATATTACATGTTATGAAGTAAATAGACACAAAAAAAATCAATATGGAGCTTATAAGTATCCTATTCGGATATGTCACACAAATCAATTTAAAGATTATAAATCACATATTTCTAATAAAGAAAATAGACATGATATTAAATTAAACATTAAAAAATATAATATATATATATATACACATATAGATTATATATGTATATATATATTAATGTTATTATATTTATATATAAAACCAAAGTTTATCAAACGTTAGTCCAAAAAAGGTGTACAAAGTGCGTAAAAATAAAGTGTATCTAGGATGACATTTTTATATAAAATTAAAGTGACCATGCAACAGCATATGTATAGTACTTAAAGTGACAGTGCCTATATATAATAGATGCTCTGAATAGAAGTCTTTACAAGAATACAAAAGTTCAAGCATATACCAAGTGAAGAATCTAGCACCAGCAACGATTAAAAAAAATATAAAAACATATATATTGGTTAAAAACAAAATAAAATAGTTCACATAAAAGAGACATCATCATATTACAGTGACATTGCATTAAGCTCTTATCCTTTGTAGTTTGCAAGGACAGAAAAAATGAATTAAACAAAGGGGTTATCCAGATTCCTTACTTAAACACAGGGCCGGATTAACCGGATTTAAATAGGCCCGTAGATTTAAAATAAAAAAATATATATATATTTTTTTTACACACTACTCTTAGGGTTTCCACCTGGCTGGTATTTTACTGACAGTATTTGAGGCTGCATGGCCGGTGCCGATATTGCAGTCACACTAGCAATGCAAATGCTGGTATTTTTCTCAGTATAAACAGAGATTACGATGCAATACCAGCGCTGGCCAGTAGGGGTCGCTGTGTGTGTGGAGAGAGAGAGGATAGGAAGTTCCAGCATATCCCTCCCTAGCTATCTCTACTCACTGATCCGCAGGGGAGCAGCTACAGAGTGCAACTCCCGCCCTGCAGGCACATCGTACAGCTCAGGGAAGTGAGGGATGGGGGAAAAGGCTGCAAGGAGGCATGGGGTCACTGGGAAATATGGGGACACTGAGAGACAGTGTCCCCATGTATTCAAGTGTCCCCTAGTATCCCAGTGTCCCCATGTCTTCGTGTCCCCTAGTATCCATGTGTCCCAGCCAGTGTCCTTGGTGTCTCACGGTCCCCATGTCTCCCAGTGTCCCCAAGTGTCTCGGTGTCCCCATGTCTCCCAGTGTGCCCATGTCTCCCAGTGCCCCAAGTGTCTAAATATCCCCATGTCTCCCAGCCAGTGTTTCAAGTGTCTGTGTTCCTTGTGTCTGTGTCCTATGTCTTCAAGTGTCCCCTATTTTCCCAGTGTCTCCATGTGTCCCAGCCAGTGTCCCCTAGTCTTCCAGTGTCACTGGTGTCTGTGTCCCCAAGTGTCTCAATGTCCCCATTTTTATCAGTGTCCCCAGGTCTCCCAGTGTCCCCTGTCTCAGTGTCCCCATGTCTCTCAGTGTTCCTAGTGACATGGGTACACATATATTAGGGGACACTGGGAGACATGTGGACATAGACACTAGGAGACACTGAGAGACATGGGCATACTAGGGGAGACATGGGGACACTGGGCGATATGGTGACACGAGAACACTGCGAGACATGGAACATTGAGACACTGTGACACATAGGGTCACTGGGAGACCTGGGGACACAACACTAGGGGACACATGGAGACATGGGGCACTGAGACACTGTTATACATAGGGACATTGAGACCTGGGGTAATCAACACATGGGGACACTGAGTCATGAGGGCACTGAGAGACTAGGAGACACTGTCCGACATGGGAACACTGAGACAGTGGGAGACTTGAGACACTGGGAGTAATCCATCTATACAGCAGAAGCAAAGTGTAAGTAGTTTTTGGTGATTTTACAGGATTTTCTCTTATGTCACTCCTTGTGATTTACATCATGTGATGTCACCCATACATAATTAATTATGCAAATTAGTAAGGCCAGTATGTTTTTCCAATTCTTTGGGCGTTTGCCCCTTTTGGCAGGTTACGTGATTTGCGTCAGTGGCACACCATTTTAGCGTGCCCATTGACTTCCTGCTTCACTTGACACTGCTGTTAGGGGTTATGGATTAGCATAGGGTATGTGGTTATTTATGTTGGGGAAAGCACTAAAAAAAAAAAAGAAATAATGGTTCTCCAAACATAAATCAGTGATTAGAACTGGTTTGATTAATGATCATTTTGCTGAAATGAAAACATAACATTACACAGTTATGTGAGGCTTTCTGGATTAGGGAATTGGATTCCCTTTATCCGAAGGGCCTAATTACAAATCTGATGTTGTATCTTTAATTTCGTCTAAGGCAAAGGAAAGGTTTTTTTTACTGTAAGAACAATCGGGATGTGGAATTCTCTGCCTGAAGAAGTGGTTTTATCAGAGTCCATACAGATGTTCAAACAGCTACTAGATGCATACTTGCAAAAACAGAATATTCAAGGATATAATCTTTCAATGTAGGGTAATAACTGCTTGATCCAAGGATAAATCTGACTGCCATTCTGGGGTCAAGAAGGAATTTTTTTTCCTAGGCTGAACTTGATGGACGCAAGTCTCTTGTCAGCTTTGTAACTATGTAATGTGAACTTTTTTGTTTAATCAATATATATGTATTTATCCTTTTTTAGGTTAGTTATCATTTGCTGTTGGTGCTATATTCTTCACTTGTTGAATGCCTGATGTTTGTGTTCTTGTAAAGACGTCTATCTAGGACATATATATAGGCTCTGTTACTTTAGGTACTATATTTTAAGAGCCTCTGTAGGTAGTATAACCATTTCATCTCATTGAATTAGTTACAGTGTCTGGAGTTTCCAGGTACTGTTAATCAATTTACTGTTAAACCATTTTTTAAAGGCAGAGATTACACAATTCCTTCTGTGTATTCCCATTTATACCAGCAATGGGCACTTTGATAGGCTGAATGCAGTATGCTGACACTATCAGCCAATCCCAGCCACTCGTCATTAGCCAAAGCTGCACAGTGGCATTGAGCTGTAGGGAACTCTTGGTTAGCATTAAATTATTAACAACTTTTTAATGCAGAATGGAAGGACAGCATCAGGAGACTGCACACACTATAAGATTTTCAATGAAATTAAGCCAATATAATGCCCATTTAACCCCTTCAATATTACTACTGAATCTAAACATTTTCATGTATTTTGTAGTATGAAATCTAGTCCATAAATCATCACTCACCCTCATTTTTATTCTAGTTATAATTAACAAACTATAGAGGAAAGGATGTCTCTTCCAGATTACACTAGTCACTTATGTAATGAGTGATGAAAATGTAAGCTCACTGCTTCCAAACAGTACAGGAACTTACACTGGATGATACCATTCCTACAGCCACTAAGGGAGTAAGAATGAATGGACTATACCATTTCACTATTAGCATACTAGAGCTTAATAAAGTTTTCTATATCCGTTTTAAACACCTTATTTATGTGTGGGCATTATGATCAAATGTCTACGTTCTTTTTATATTTGTTGCCATTTTAGCAATCTGTACTGCTACTAATGCCTTCAAGATCCTTACAAATACATATAAGCTAGGTATGTGACCATTTTTATTTGCATAATTTTTAAGTTTGCCTGCAAAGCAATCTATACACAACATTGCTGTGTTGTGATATTCGCATTTGCTAGTTATGCATATTGCATCAAATAAATGTTATGCTAATATTTTTTCAAACTCAAAAAGTGCTCGGCCGTGAAGGGGTTAAGCTGCTTCACAGTCTCTTTAATTTTATATATCTTGTAAATGTCAAGATAGATGCACTTTTTGTAAATTTTTGACTTGATTCATTTTGTTATCTTATGGTTGCACTTTTTTAAGCACTGGCACACTTAATAAATGACAGTTTCAATTTATAAACTTTTTGGGATTAACATTTGATACACTTTTGTGATAGTCCTAATATATTATTTCTCCAATTAAATAATAATAATATTAACGGTCTATATTCTCTTTATTATGTATATCACGTTATTAACCCCTTAAGGCGTCCTTGGGTACCCGACTCTAAACGCCGGAAGGCGGCATAGAATGCCCAAGCCGTCCTATGTAATTACCCGGTCACCGGCGATCCCACACTGGCGATCGCAGTGTGGGGACTCACCTGGGAGCCCAGGGAGTCCCTCTCCGGCCCCCCTGGGCCATGTGATCGCGAGGACCTTCATGATCACATGGGCGGCATAGCCGTCCAAGGCAGTGCCAGCAGGGGGAGTGCCTGTAACGACAGGTACTCCCCCTGCTGCCTGAAAATAGTAAAATATATGTTAAAGTTATAGTTTAAAATACAATATATACTTAGATCATATATATATTTACTATATATATGATCTAAGTATATATATTTATATATATATAATTTTAATTATATATATATATTTATATATAATATAAAATAATATGTAAATACGTTAAAAAATAAATAAAAGATATATTTGTGTAAATTCGTTCTAACTGTATTTTATAATTATTAATATATATTTATTGATATCAAAATACATGTAGAACGAAATATATATCTATATACCTAAGTATATACGTATATATCACTATATATATATATACCTATGTATAAATAAATAATAATAAAAAAAAAATATATATATATATATATATATATATATATATATAATTCTATGTATATATTTATGTCATAATTTTACTTAATTAGGTCATTTTATTAATTACAATTTGCGGGACCTGCCTGACAACCCAGGCCAAAAATCCAGGGAATTTAACACTATATTTAACCCTGTAAATTTCCAAGACACCATCAAACCTGTACATGGGGGGCACTGTTTTACTCAGAAGACTTCGCTGAACACAAATATTAGTGTCTCAAAACAGTAAAATGTAGTGCAACGATGCTATCGTCAGTGAAAGTGACAGTTTTTTGCATTTTTCAAACACAAATTGCACTTACATGGACGATATAATTGTTGTGATACGTTTTACTGTTTTGAAACACTAATATTTGTGTTCAGCAAAGTCTCTCGAGTGTAACATGTACAGGTTTTATGGTGTTTTCAAAAGTTACAGAGTCAAATATAAGGCTTGTGTTTCAGTTTTTTCACATTGAAATTCGACAGGTTGGTTATGTTGCCTTTGAGAGCGTATGGTAGCCCAGGAATGAAAATTACCCCCATGATGGCATACCATTTGCAATAGTAGACAACCCAAGGTATTGCAAATGGGGTATGTCCAGTCTTTAATAGTAGCCACTTAGTCACAAACACTGGCCAAAATTGGCGTTCAAATTAGTTTTTTGCATTTTTCACACACAAACAAATATTAACGCAAACTTTGGCAAATATGTGTATTTTATTGCAGTAAAAGCAAATCTTATTATGACATTCACAGTTAAAATGTCACGTAGAACTAAAACATTTTGTAACAATTCTTATTTTCTCCCATTTTGATATTTTATTCATATTATTTATGTTTCATAGCTAAATATTTGATGTTAAATGAAAGCCCTGTTTCACCTGAATAAAATGATATATAATGCTTGTGGTTGCACATAATATGAAAGAGGCGAATTACGCCTGAACAGACATATAGCGCAAATTCAAGTTTTTGTTTACGTTTTGTTTTCAGCATGTGTACATTTGGCTCAGTCCTTAAGGGGTTAATTATCTGTAATTGAACTTTAATTTAATTTGCGAGACATTCTCATAGCACATCTTCATTGCATTATTGCCACTTTTTATAGTTCATATTGAGTTTTTCCTATGTCTGTTTACTTTCTAACATGCATTGGAGTTTTCATAATATTGTCCTGTTGATTGTAGATTACAATTTCATATGGTTGCCAGGACAACGCGTCTCTGCTAGACACTTTGAGGCGAGGCATACAGTTTTATGGCCTTAACTCGACATGATTGACGTCACTTCTGTTCCTGGCTTTCGGAGACAGGTTGCCATGGCAATCCACTCAATACTCTATATATTTCATCAGTGCTATGTAATGTGTGTTTTTAAGTTACACCAGTATTGTTATACACAAGTAAATGTAATAGAAGGGGAGTTTAAATCTTGGTATACCGCGGGCTGCTGACGTCACTTCCGCTGTCTGTGATGGTGTTCTAGGAATGCTGTAACAAGTATGGTAAGTACTGTCATTCTGGTTTTACTGGTTTTATTGGTGTATGCTTATTCTATATAAATGTGATGTGGAGGAGATTGTAGTAGTTTGAGAAAAGCTCTTTGACACAGCCAAAATGTCTGCTAATAAAGTTTGCATTAACATCCTTGGGTCCCCGGGCATTTGCCACTACTATGTGGGAATATTGCCACCCCAGTCTGACAGGCACCACATATGAATTTCTTATCACTTGGCATGTGCAGTCCCTAATCTGAGCTACACTGTGCAAGAACCTCTGAACTAAACAATGTATAATGGGAAAAGGGGGGGAGGGAGGAAGTTGAGCTTGTATCAAGACTGTTAAGCATATAACTTTAGCACACTTCCTAAACTAGGATTTGTAGCTGATGGAGGTAAAGCAGCTATAAAAAGGTAGTCAAATTTGCACCTTGTTTTTGGATTGCATTTCTTAACATTCTCCATACATATACAGTTGCAAGGAAAAGTATGCAAACCCTTTGGAATGATATGAATTTCTGCACAAATTGGTCATAAAATGTGATCTGATCATCATCTTAGTCACACAGTCTGCTTATTCTAATAACGCACAAAGAATGAAATGTTGCCATGTTTTTATTGAACACACCATGTAAACATTCACAGTGCAGGTGGTAAAAGTATTTGAACCCTTGGATTTAATAACTGGTTGAACCTCCTTTGGCAGCAATAACTTCAACCAAATGTTTCCTGTAGTTGCAGATCAGACGTGCAAAAGGTCAGGAGTAATTCTTGACCATTCCTCTTTACAGAACTGTTTCAGTTCAGCAATATTCTTGGGATGTCTGGTGTGAATCGCTTTCTTGAGGTCATGCCACAGCATCTCAAATCGGGTTGAGGTCAGGACTCTGACTGGGCCACTTCAGAAGGCGTATTTTCTTCTGTTTAAGCCATTCTGTTGTTGATTTACTTCTATGCTTTGGGTCATTGTCCTGTTGCAACACCCATCTTCTGTTGAGCTTCAGCTGGTAGACAGATGGCCTTAAATTCTCCTGCAAAATGTCTTGATAAACTTGGGAATTCATTTTTCCTTCGATGATAGCAATCAGTCCAGGCCCTGACGCAGCAAAGCAGCCCCAAACCATGATGCCCCCACCACCATACTTCACAGTTGGGATGAGGTTTTGATGTTGGTGTGCTGTGCCTTTTTTTCGCCACACATAGTGTTGTGTGTTTCTTCCAAACAACTCAACTTTGGTTTCATCTGTCCACAGAATATTTTGCCAGTACTGCTGTGGAACATCCAGATGCTCTTGTGCAAACTGTAATCGTGTAGCAATGTTTTGTTTGGACAGCAGTGGCTTCCTCTTTGGTATCCTCCCATGAAATCCATTCTTGTTTAGTGTTTTACGTATTGTAGATTCGCTAACAGGGATGTTAGCACTTGCCAGTGACTTTTGTAAGTCTTTAGCTGACACTCTAGGCTTCTTCTTCACCTCATTGAGCAGTCTGCGCTGTGCTCTTGCAGTCATCTTTACAGGACGGCCACTCTTAGGGAGAGTAGCAGCAGTGCTGAACTTTCTACATTTTTAGACAATTTGTCTTACCGTGGACTTATGAACAGCAAGGCTTTTGGAGATACTTTTATAACCCTTTCCAGCTTTATGCAAGTCAACAATTCTTAATCATAGGTCTTCTGAGAGCTCTTTTGTGCGAGTCATCATTCACATCAGGCAATGCTTCTTGTGAAAAGCAAACCCAGAACTGGTGTGTGTTTTTTATAGGGAAGGGCAGCTGTAACCAACACCTCCAATCTCATATCATTGATTGGACTCCAGTTGGCTGACATCTCACTCCAATTAGCTCTTGGAGATGTCATTAGTCTAGGGGTTCACATACTTTTTCCACCTGCACTGTGAATGTTTACATGGTGTGTTCAATAAAAACATGGCAACATTTCATTCTTTGTGTGTTATTAGTTTAAGCAGACTGTGATTGTCTATTGTTGTGACTTAGATGATGATCAGATCACATTTTATGACCAATTTGTGCAGAAATCCATATCATTCCAAAGGATTCACATACTTTTTCTTGCAACTGTATGTAGGAACAATTTTGGGCACCCCTTGATATTGCTTTAATTCCACTCCAGGTGTAACTCTAGTACACAGGCTGTAGGTTAACATTCTTGATAGTGGACATGAGAGATCTCTCTGAACAATTCCTGTGCATTGTTTCTCTGTAATGTGTCCAGCCTAATGCCACTTTAATGCCCAGAACATGTGTCATTTGCTAACAAACTGAAAATCTGTTTAGGCCCACAAATTTCTAAACCCATTTACATGGGTAGCATTGAAATGTCAGTCATTTTACTCTTGCCATTGCAGCAGTTTGTCGTTGTGTTTTAGAGTGTTTTGAGGCTTGCCTTACTCACATTTGACTTGTTCTTTTTTTAATCTATTCATATGGTGCTAGAGGAACCAGTATATCACTGTTGAGAATTAAATGAGGGTGCAAAGCATTACTGATACCATGCAAAACATCATGATAGGTGACACTGGAAATGGAATATACATTCAGAAGTGCATCCTAATTCAGAGGCCTAATGAGAAAAAAGAAGAAAGCAAAACAAATATAGAGACACCAGTGTGGCGAAAACGCGCGTCGGGATTAGTTTAGTGAGCGGGTGGTTGGAGCCAGACTAGGGACTATGCTGCAGCTATCAGAATAATTTGCGTGTGATGCTCCGGGCAGACCACCCTCTCCATATCACTAGTATTTAGACTATTTTGTTTATTTGGCGATCCTCCAATAGAGGCCACTTTGTTACACGTAGAAAGGAATTTAACGTTCGAGGCCATTGAGGGAAATGAGTAGCAAGATTAGGTTGTTAACAGAGAGATAGATTCTAGCATTTCTTTCACCATAGATACATTTGGATTCAGTTTGATCCACCAGGAATCTTTTCTCTCTGTGCTACTATTTACCTCTTAGCTCTCTTTCTCTCTTTTTATTTGATTTATCCATTTATTATTTTTTTCACTTAGCATTTAGTAATTGATTTTAAAAGGTATCCTATTAAAAGTTAAATTTTATATCACCTTCTTTTGGGTTGCTTTGCATATGTAGGGAACCTTTGGGACTGACTAATTTAACCCTTAGGTGTCTCTATATTTGTTTTGCTTTCTTCTTTTTTCTCATTGTACTAGTTACTAGGGGTTACCCCCCACGTTCCATAAGCAACCCGACCTTATACCCCTGTTCCTATTCCCTTTTCTCTCTAGCTCTATAATTCAGAGGCCTGTTCTTTTGCGTTAGGAAGCCATTTTGGATGTCATTTTTATTTAAAATGGCATGGATCAGTATGCATGCAGTGTTGTCATACAGATATCTCCTTAAAAGGTCAAGGCTAAGCTTCATTCACCAATGATTTTGTATGTCTTAGCAATTCTCATTTTTAATAAAATGCCCAAAGTTTCCTGCAGGAAACTAATGCACTCCATATAACAGATTATAGCAGAAATAGAGTTCAGGGGATGAAATGACGCACCTTGTCCTTTCAAATGCTTATCTTGTTATTTATGTATTGCACTTTCTAATTCTCAACATTGCTGGTCTCTGTGGCACAACATAGATTAGTACTCCCATTTGCTTCCCATTCAACAATAACTAGTTGGTTGATGCATTTAGGGGTTGCAAACAACCCCTCAGGGCTGTTAATAGGGAATAGGTCAATGGTGCTGAAATATGGTGCTCACTGCTAGACAGAAAGTGTAAGATAATGTTTGCAGGGCAATGTTGTGCTCTCATCCAACCTGACATAAAAGGGGTATAATACTTCTTGGTGCTTACTGCAGGTTGAACTACCATCAAATTAATGTGACTTAAGTGGGGTAAGAACATGACACAAAACTTAGTACATTATGAAGCACGGATCTGGAGCATTTTTGGAGTTTGTTCTATGGAGCGTGTTTTCAGACCTGTTACAGAGCCAAAGTTAAATTTCATGTATCGCTCTGTAATATAGTTCTGAAACTGCTACTATTGCTAATGTGAGTGACAATGTGAGTAAAGATCTCAATCTATGTACCTGTATGTTTCCCTCATACTGGGTTATGGTATGCAGTTATTTATGTCCAGCTATACTAAACTTATATTGATTACTGAGTCCCAGTTGTTATGCACTGGGAACAATTACAGATCAGGAAATAGCAGCATGCCTCTTATTGAGTGCCACCTTATTCAGAATTCAGTGTATAATTATAATAATTTAAAGTATTGTCATACATATGATCCAACTTATAATAATCATAGGTCATTACAAAGTAATTCTTTGTAGCCTGAGGAACACAAGTATGTTGTAAGATAAAGATTAGAGACCAAACACAATTTAAACTTAAAAAATGGTGTCTGATTATGAATGTTAAATAATGTTATATTCCTTATCAAATTGCACCTGGACAATTTGCATAATATACATAAGACTGTCTTAAGTTATTTTTATTCCTGTATGTTACGGTCATGAACCTCTAAGTTCTAAACAGGCTGTCATAAGGACAATAAATACTGTTTGTATGATGGTTTAGCTCTTGCCGGAATTGGTGGAAAAGGGGAGGCAGCTGAACAATCCAATCTGGAGTCTCTATCTTCTGGTTAAATACAGGATGCTTGTGTGGGAAGGAGAGAGTAGCATCGTGTTTGCAGGGGGTATATAGAGCAAAGGAGGAAAAAAATGGAGCAGCTTTTTCTTAATGTTGAAAAAAAAAAAAGATTTTCTCAATTTGTGCGGCACATGAGCGGTATAATCCCCACTTAAGGATAGTGACACTAGTGACCTGGTTGCATTGAAGCCATCCATGCCATCGCACTGCCTCCACCGTGTTTTACAGGTGGTTATGCTTCAGATAATGAGCCATTCCAAGCCAGCTGCATACTTTTTTTCTTCCCATCATTCTGGTAAAGGAATAATCTTAGCTTCATCTGTCCAAAGATGCTGTTCCAGAACTGGGCCGGCTTTTTTAGATATTTTTTTTTGGCAGTGTCTAATCTGGCCTTTCTATTTTTTTTTTTTTTTTTATATTCTTTCTTTATTTAACACTAAAAACAACAAAAAATAACTCATTATACAGTCTTTAACATGCATTTAACAGCAATATTACCTAAAAGATTGCATTTAAGCTCTAATATCACCATTTTGATTTATTCATCAATACAAATTTTTACACACACACAAAAAAAAAAAACTATCTACCTATGGCCTTTCTATTCTTGAGGCTTATTAATGTGGTGAACCTTCTGTATTTGCTCTTGTGAATTCTTGTCTTCATGGTAGGCTTGGATAATGATATGCCTACCTCCTGGAGGCAGAACAACCCCACCACTGTTTTCTGTGGATGTTGTTTCCAGGCCTTTTTGTGTTGCAGAGCTCACCAGTGCTTTTTTTTCCTCAGACTGTACCAAACTGTTGATTTGGCCACTATTCCTGCTATCAATCTGATGGATTTTGTATTTTTTGCAGCCTAAGGATGGCCTGTTTAATTTGCTCTGAGAGCTCCTTTGACTGCATGTTGTGGGTTCACAGCAACATCTTCCAAATGCGCATGCCACACCTGGAATCTACTTCAGACCTTTTTACCTGCTTAATTATTGAAGAAATATTATGGGAATAGTCAATACCTGTCCATGAAAGAGCTTTTCAGTCAATTGTCCAATTACTTTTGGTCCCTTGAAAAAAGAGGGGATACATATTAAAGAGCTGTAATTTCTAAACCCTTCCTCCAATTTAGATGTGAATACCCTCAAATAATGAATATGTACTTAAAGTGCAGTCTCCCAGCTTTAATTTAACTATAACTTGAATTTTATTTGGTAAACAGCCGAAATAACAAAACTTGTTTCAGTGTCTAAATATCTCCAGACCAAACAGTACCACCTGTGAATACTGTGAGGAACTACTCCTTCCTTCCTTCCAACACTAGCAGGCTATCATAAGGGTAGTAAAAACAGAGGGGAAAAGTCTGCGCTTAATAACAGGGAAGAAAGCAGCAACCCTAAAGAGGGAATCCCTCAAGACCCTTGGTAAGATAGGAAGAAAAAAGAGGAGTTAAGGGCTGCGCTATTGTACAGAGAACAGTACCATAATATAGAAACCAATTGGTTGAAGTATATAATCAGCAAGTGATAAAACCTGGGTGTAATAGTCTCTATTGCAATTATATAAAAATAATGAATAAAACTGAGTCCATCCAGATGTTCAGTAAAGATCAAATGATAAGAAAATGTTGAATAAAATCAATAAAAACAGTCTCACTGATATATGGATAGGGTATGTGTACAATCCTCAGGAGTTGATCCGTCCGGGTTGTAGATAATCCGTATATGTTAAGATAAAAGAAAACACAAAAAAACTGCCAATGGTGAAATATTGTAGCTCCAAGGGTAAAAATAAGTAGAAAGGAGGATTGTACACTCACATTTGATGGAGCTAGGGCCAGCTCTAATGCAAATAGTGCTCTCAGTAAGAACAATAAATAAAATAAAATATACTTACAAGAGTAGAGCAGAAAATACTGCCACAGCGCTGGTGGAATTATCCCCACCTATGGATTTCTTGGAACTGGATACAATAAGAATAAAAATAAAAAATGTAAGGAATAATAGTAAAAGTGTGTGTGAAATACAATAAAATAAGTAAAAGATTGGTCCTATAAAAAAAAAAAGGTAACCAAAAATAACTTTTGTTTTAAAATACACAATTTTGATAAAGCCTTATAGGTGAAACACATTAATGGTTTTAAATTGTGTATTTTATAACAATAAAAAAGTTATTTTTGGTTGTGAGTATATTTTATTTATTGTATTGTTCTTACTGAGAGCACTATTTGCTGTTTCTTATACCTTGTGGAATATGACGAACCCAAGCCGGACGGACGGACCTACCCTTCCAGTACATCCTTTAGTGGGGATTATACCACTAAGTTCCCTTCACCCCAGAGCTGGCCCTAGCTCCATCAAACGTGAGTGTACAATCCTTTCTACTTATTTTTACCCTTGGAGCTACAATATTTCACCATTGGCAGTTTTTTGTGTTTTCTTTTATCTTCACATATACGGATTATCTACAACCCGGACGAATCAACTCCTAAGGATTGTACACATACCCTATCCATATATCAGTGAGACTGTTTTTATTGATTTTATTCAACATTTTCTTATTAGTTGATCTTTACTGAACATCTGGATGGACTCAGTTTTATTCATTATTTTTATATAATTGCCATAGAGACTATTATACCCAGGTTTTATCACTTGCTGATTATACACTTCAACCAATTGGTTTCTATTTTATGGTACTGTTCTCTGTACAATAGCGCAGCCCTTAACTCCTCTTTTTTTCTTCCTATCATAAGGGTAGTGACCAAGTGCTACATGCATGTGTGACATGGCTACATTTACCCACATGTAAACCTCTAATGAAGAACTATTTCACTTATCTGTGAGTTGTAGTAACTTTGTAAAAGGCTTGTAAAATCTAGACCAAAATAAGAAGTGTTTCAAATTAGCTTGCTTCTTTAAGTAGACTGTTCCTTCTGTTTCTTTAGCCTTCTTGGTACTCTATATTTTTTACAAATTCAATCTCTTTTTTATGCTGTTGTGCTGTGTTTCCCACATATGTTCTCTGTTTAACTCTACCTTCCAGGAGCAAAAAAAAAAAAAAAGCTTAATATTCACAATATTTACAGACAGCAGAGAGTGATGGGTCTGCACCTAACCTTCATATGCAAAACTACTTTTCTGCTGACACCAGACTGCTTAGAAAAGCACATACAGAGTTATTCACTAAAGTTAGTATTCTCAGGAATCCAAAGTAAATTTCTAATTTTAGATGAAAAACTCGTTTATAACAGATTTGAGATTTTTTTCAATTCAGCTATATTTGAACTTTTTAAAAAAATTTCCTGACAGTTTAAACTTTAGTAAATAACCCTGATAGACTGAAACTTAAATAAAATTCAGCAACACAAATTTAAAATTCTCCTAGACATGCTACCATAAATACTAGTTTTATTAAAGGTTTGTAACAATACAATGGAAACCAATCAAACAAAAGGCTCACAGTGATTTCTGAGATAACTCCAGGATATTTTTCAAGGATTAAATGTGTAATTCTACTTGAGATATGCATAAAGAACACTTATTTGAAAGGGATATTTATTAAAAAGAAAAAAGAAACCCTAGACAAGTTTGCTATTATTATTTTGACAAGAATCACACAGTATAGGTGTACAAGTACAGGAGCCATCAATGTCAGACTTTAATAAACTAAATAAGGGATACTTTTAGAATTATAATTAGCAGTAACAATGTCTCACTTATGACATTGCATTGAAGCAGCTTAGAACTGCCAACTGCTGCCAATAAAGTGCACTATATTGTATAACAAAAACAAATTTGGTTGCAGGAGAAGTTAAAATTTCAGTTACATTTGGTTGAACATTTCTTGTAAACATATTCAGAAACCAGCTTTCCTCACCAGGGATAAAAAACACTTCTGGGAGAATTTGAAAATTCCCCATGCCAGAGAAGTATGTATCCTCGCTTTTTTGGCATAGGAAATGTAAACATGGTGCTACATACACAACCACTAGAACAACAGCGGCCTTATCTGGGGGGTGGCCTCCCCATGTCATCCTACTCCCAGTTTGAGTACAAACTCCCTTTTTGCCTTTTTAAAGTGATCCGTTACTCTGGTCCCAAATGTCTGTTTTGTCGAGGTGTTCGGGGGGTGGGAAGGGGCATGTAGCACATTGGCATTTTTTAGATGTATTTATAAAATTGTACATGTTAAAAAACAAAAACGCTTATTTTATTGTGTTTCTTATGTTTTGCTTACGAGTTATATAAAAAGGTGTGTGTTAACCTAAGTGACCAGAGTGTGATCACACTTACAAATGTATATTATGTCTGAAACAAAACTTCCATTAACCCTTTAAGGACCAAACTTCTGGAATAAAAGGGAATCATGACATGTGTCCTTAAGGGGTTAAATATCTTGTTCATACCTTGCACTTGCAAAAAAATACTTTTGCTTTTGGTTTTAAACTAAGTGCAAATCATAAAAATGTTGGCAAAATAGTAAATAGTCTAAATTCCATAACTCCAATGTGCTATATGGATGATTTAGCAACAGGCTTATTTTATTCTGTCCACTCAAGTTGTAGAAAAAGACTCTTTAGTCCAGTGACTTGCAGTAGCTTCAGTGCCACTGCTTGCTTGCTCATTTCAAATTGAAATATCGAGTGTGTCTGCAGTTTGTTTGTTTTTAAAACACAATACATTACAGTGGTAGTAAATCCACCAAGCAGTAATCCATGTTAATCAAAAACTGTTATAATTGTGTAATAATTTGTTAGTTTACACAATACATATTCAAATCCATGTATTATAGCTAACACACTATTGTCAATTACTCATTAAAGTGAAGATTTGGAGTGAATTTAAAATGTAAGGCCAAAGTTACCGAACTGGAAGCACAGCTGAGTTGAAGAATTTTTCCACTATTTGACCTAAAATGTTTTAAATTCCCTTTAAATACTCCCATATTCACTCAAATCGTTTCACCTCTTACTCGACCATGATGACTGCTTACACTACCACCACTGCTGCAACCACCACAGCACGTACCATTACTATTAGTAATATTCATCCTTATGTATTACTTACTACCCAGAAAGCAAATTTCTTCAATTCACTCCACAATAAAATACGCTATTGGCACTGGCAGTGCAGCTTTTTCTACCACAACTTGAAGCAAGGGATAGGTTGAACTAGAAGACTTTTTGCCATTCCCAATGTTATTCCCTATTCCCGATAATGATATTACGCTTTCCCCCACTACTGCAGATATTCATTGAAATCTGTCCCTGGAGGCACTTGACTATGAGCTGGTAGAATTAGAAAGAAAAGTCAGGATAAAAGAAGCAACAGTCAAGTTTTCTATAACTAGTGTACACTCTTTTCCTGCATCTTTATCATCCTGTCAAAGTCCATCTCTATCTGCTTTTGAATAACCTCATTCAATGGAAGCACATCTACAGTCAGGGCCACAAGTAGCTATCCCAGTGTTATTAGGAACACAACCACTTCCATTTGTATTAGTCAAAGTGCTATTGTAGAGGATAGTGTTGTGTCAGCTGCCACTATTAATAAACCATCTTCAGTAACCACAAGATGAACAAAATTTGGGATCACTTTGAGTGCCTCCAAGAAGGGTGATTTCCAACGTGCAACTTGTGGGGAAAGGAAGTTAGTAGGGGAGAGTGATGGGTTATTTACTAGTGCTAGTATGAACCATCACCAATACTCTGTATTGGTGAGGGACAAAGCAGAAAAATAAATTTCTAAAGCAGGCAGCAAGTTATTTTATCTGAGTATGTGAACCACTTTCCACCAGCGTAATTCCTGCACTACTACCACCCTTACGGAGAGACAGGTGAATTGTGAGGATAGTGACTCCTGGTCCCGGGAATGTGTCCACCAGCCCATTCTTGAACAGTTCTTACTTTTCTTTGGTTGACAGCTCACTGGTGGAAGCCCATTGAGCTTGGGTATGGTGATGTTAGTGGAGGAGGTCAAAGCTTTGGCAGCTTTGCAGGATGTAAGTGGATCTGTAGGGTAGTAGAGCTATTGATCTATCTCCTGCTACTTGTTGAAGTGATGGAAGTGAAGCACAGTTCTGAAAACATCTTGCAGCCACTTGTTGACTGGTGGCAAATTGACAGGGAGAGCAGGCAGGTACCAATGTGCACGTTTGTATTCTACTCACAAACAGACCTACTAGCCTGGTCCAACCTTTGGAGAAACTTGGAATTACCACTATAGTGTCTTCAAGAACAAGAGAGAACAGCGCTTTCCATACACAATCTATGGATGTCAGCACAAGCTGAAACTCCACTTTTGACATGCGGGGAATAATTTCCGAACACCAGAGATCAATACATAGTCTATATTTCAACCAGTATATTGACTCCCTACGGAGACGTGAGGATTAGACATAAAAAGGGCAACAAGTGTCCATTTTATTTTTAATCTATTTAGGGATATGATAGAAAATCTGAGCCACAGTAATGCCAGTTTGGAACAGTTCATACCTTGTTCATCCACCTCAATAACTAGATGAATGCCTTCCTGGAAAATGGATAACTTAATAATAATAATAATAATAATAATAATAATAATAACAACAACAACTTGTTCCTATCAGCACACTCGAGACTTATGTAGCAGCAATGGTCAAGAGGCTGAAATATGTATGTAGTGGAGCTGCAATCCTGAGATTGAATATCTCCGCTGAAGTTCCCTCGAGCTTAATGATAGCGCTGTTCAGTGATTATAGCCCATTCACCCAGTAACTAGACAATACACAGTTCTGGGAGTCAACTGAGGTTTATTGAGCCACAACCGGCTTTTTATGCCTAGACCCCCAGCATTCGGTCTCCATTGAAAATAGTACAAACCTCTCCCAGCTGTCTGTGTCTGGGAGATAATTGAGTCAAAAGAAGGCCAACTCAATTATTTCTCAGTTACAGGAACTAATACAATAACATACAAAATGCCCCAAAAACATATCAAAATATTACAGAAACTCCACAAATCTTAAATCCCCAAATAGCCCGGATTTCAGCGCCCAAGTTATCAAAATAACTCTCAGACCAGTTCAGTAGAACAAAAGCGACATTCGGGTAAAGTTTTGACCAGCCAGCCAAGAGGTGATAGCCCAAAATAGTTCCACAAGAAAAGGACCAAAGGCCGGTCTACATTCGGGGGTTCCTATACGAACACTCCCCTTGGCTTTTAGGGAGCCAATGCTCCCCCTGTTCTCTAGTTCCTATCTCTCGAATGTCATTCTAATTAATCTGGGAGAGGAACAGGCAGTGGTACAGGTTTCTCCGGCGTTCGCGGGGTCGCATAGACGTACTGGAGTTCCAGACACTCGAAGACCATGTACCACTGCCTGTGTTCGGGTTCCACACATGGAAAGCACTTACACTAATTTAAGTTAACGAGCCAGGGGTGGTGTTCGAAGGGTATAAAAAGGGGGACCACACATGTTCCATTTGGTCCACGAACAGGGGGTACGAATGAGTTCGGGGGAACTAGGGGATAGATATAGGCAACCAAAGGGAATAGTATAAGGTCCGCCACAATGCACTCAAAGCTTGTGTGAGCTAATCCTTGGATGAAACTGGCACTCTCACCCGAACAAGAATATACACAGGATTAGCGCTAAAAGTTCAAAAGCAGATTACGTTAAGCATGAAAAACCTGACTACAGAGACACCTCTATACCAAAAGACAGACAATAACAGGTTGTTCCAATTAAAAAGTAGATTAGTATTAAAAAAAAAACAATTAAGATAATGAGATACAGTCCAAATTTTCCTCAATGGGTACATTAAAAAAAAAAAAAAAAAAAGGAAACCAATATTATATTTATCCGAACGAGTGGGTAACACAGTGCTTAAGTGCCCGCTCACATGGCATGGAGCTTTCATACAAGCTCTGATAATAACAGCATATAGTAATTTACTAGGATATAGGTGTTATATGGGTGACTTTGGTGATTCTCAATGATGAATAAAAAAAAACCTCCAGTAGTGTAATATTAAAAGTGAATATTGTGCAAACAAAAACAGGAAGTACACTCACAAAGAGCATTCATTTAAAGCTCAAAATTTCAGTCGGGAGGCGATACAATAATGATCTATCCGATTCACAATTTCCTCAGCAACATAGATGTATATAGAAGAGAAACTGAAATTGCTCAGTTCTGCCAACTTAGGTATTTCATTCCCCACCAAGGAACATATCTCCAAATGCCAAAGGAGAGTGCATCATAAAATATGCCGGGGACAAAGTACAAAATAAAAAAGAGAACTAACAATATTGAAGTAAACCACAACAGTTTTATTGTAATTGTCAGGTTCTTACCTGAGGTGGGAGTCTGAAGCACAGAGATGATCGCTCACCCTTGCAGATAAACACAGTCCAAGGTGACCAGGTAAGAAGCCACCTAGACTTTTAATCTGAGCACGGGGTCTGTGCATGAAAGGTGCTCCAATACACAATATAGACAAGGTCACAAGCAGAAGGATAGTCAAGGTGTAGCCGAAGTCAGAGGATGCCAGAGGTCAGGATAAACAATGAGTGGAGCCAAGGTCAAAAGTCGGGGTCAATCTGGATAACAAGCTCAGTAGACTAGAAACCAAGAACTACACAGAATCAAAGGACTGACAAAGTTCTCAGGGAGGGGCAGTATTGTATACCAAGCTGATGAATAATCTACCTCAGGTGAAGCACAGGCAATAGCCACAGAAGAAGTCTAACCCCTTAGTGCTGCAGACATAGCCAGGTTTGCCTCCTACACAGATCAAAGAGGGAATGAATAATAGAAAATGTATATATCCATTCAGGATCAAAATGTAAAATGTCTAAAGAACATATGAAAATAATGACAAATATATAAAAAAAAAATAAAAATATATATATATATATACATACACACACACACACACAGAATATCCAGATTATGAACAAGACTTTAAATTATCCTTCGCAGTATTAATAAAAAGGAGGGAAAAAAGAGACTTGGAATAATGAATATCATGCAAACAACTTAAACAATTATATTAAAAACATTTAGGAAAGCCTCAGGAAAATACTGTTGGGAATAAGAATCGAGAGAGTAAATACATACACAAATCATGAACCATATCAATTCAAAAAATAAACATAATCACAAAAACTCTAATCCATAAAAGCTAGAATATCAAGGTTTACATTTAATCCTAGGCAGGGCCGTCTTTAATAATGATTGGGCCCGGGGCAAGCATTTGATAGGGCCCCCTGACCCTAACTCCCTGGCATGCAATCACAATCTCCACTTCCCAACGCAGTAACGGAACCATTTTCCCATGCTTGCAGAGTTGTATTTAGCACTGAGTTGTGTTTGTGTGTTTGAATGGAAGCATGTTTTTGTATGGAGTGTGTTTGTGTAAATGTAGGGGTGTGTTTGAATGCAAGCATGCATCTGTGTATTTTTTTTTTAATGCTGGGTGTGTTTATATATATTTTTGGTGTTTAACACAAAGATGTATTTGTATGTATTGTTGACGTTTCAATGCAGGACTGTGTTTGTATGTAGTGTTGGCGATTTGAATGATGAGATGTACGTACATGTACACATACACTGCCACACACACACTGTGATACACAAATACACACTGAAACACATGCAGATACATAGATATAAACACTGACACTCACACTAACACACAAGCAGATACAGACTGACACAGATACACACACTAACACATACAGACACACAGATACACAACCTGACACACATACGGAGACAAATATACAAACACTGACACATATGAATACTCAGACACACTGATACATATACTGACACACATGCAGATACACAGATAAAAACAGTGACTACATACAGATGCACACACACAGATATACAAACGCAGGTACACACACTGACAACGTACAGATACACAAATACATACAATGATAACTTACAGATACACACACATACAGACACGCATATACAAAACCTGAGACACATGCAAAGACACACAGACCACATAGAGAAACAGATATACTAAATACAGATACACAGATATACATACTGACAGACATAATGACACACTGACATAGTGACACACACTGACAGACATACTGATACACACACAGACGCACACAGACACCCTGACAGACATACTCACACACACATACTTAGATACACACAGACATACTAAGACACACACAAATACGTTTACATTTTTACACATTGACAGGCATACTGACACAGTGACAGACAAACTGAAACACAGACATACTGACACGCAAAGACAGACATACTGACACACACAGACAAACTGACATGCACACATAAGCCCTGACAGACACCCTGACACACAGACATACTAAGACACACATACTCACACACACAGACACCCTGACAGACAAACACACATACACACATACTAAGACACACACAGAAACCCTGACATACATACTCACACACATACTAAGACACACACAGACATACTGACTCACACAAATACTGACACACACACATGCAAAGTTTACATTTATAAAGCCACCCTCCAGCCCTACCTTATGGATTCCCTGGGGTCCAGCGGCAGGCTGAGGTCGTTGGGAGTGTGAGGCTCCTGCACTCCAGATCCCTCCTGACTGCCTCCTACTCCATCCCGCGCGGCTTCATTATATCTGGGAGGAAGTGACTTACGGCAGTCACTTCCTCCCAGCCTGCTGCCGTAAAACAAGGGGGCCAAAGTGCTGACCGGGGCCTCTTAGTGTGGGGGCTCACGGTGCAGCCGCAGCACCGGCTGGCCCAGGGGGTAGTGGACAGCGGGGCCCACGGGGTAGCTGCTTTGGGCCCCCCAGGAGCAAGTGGGCCCAGGGCAGCTGCCCCGTTTGCCCCGCTTTAAAGACGGCCGTGATCCTAGGGGTACTGAAGTTTGTAATTTATAAATCCAATTTCGAAAACAAGCAGCAAGGAATTTAAAAGAGAATGACCAAGGAAATGGTGATTTTTTAGAGAGACGTATGAAAATGAACTATCAGAAATTTCCCAAAGACGGAACGTTTTTGGACATTCAAAATTTTTTTTCCCCCCTTTTGATAAATCAAACCCCCAAAGAAAATGAAAATCTTAGGAGCATCAGAAGAATTTGGGGGACCAGAGGAAGGTGAAATGTCAGATTAGAGATTTAAGGAATAAAGGAAAATGAAGGGATTTTTTATATATATATATATAATTTTTTTTTTTTTTTATGTTCTTTATTTTTGCTGTGCATGAAATAACATACGCATGCTTGCAATGCCACAACAGCAATCACAGGCAGTTTGGAAACAAGTATTCGTTAACAGTTACATGGCATTCAGAGAAACGCACAATTTAACGTTTATAAAACAAGCTAAATAAAAGCTGATTATTTACGTCTATTATAATGGTTCACATTGTGGTTATCAGGCTTAAAACAATAAAACATGCAGTGCTTCTTAGGGGTATAAGAGTGAGCAGAGGCATTCACATAGTTTAACTATCAGGGTTCTCTGCTTAGGTTGCTTAAAGCGGCACGGTCATCTTCTTTAGTTTTCTTTAAAATCATAAGACAAAGTATGGACTCTTTGCCTTATGGAGGATTCCTCCGCTTGACCAGCGGAGGAGCAAAGTGTGCTTCATTTCCGCTGGTCAGAGCAATTTTCCCATGATTCTCACCTTCCCTCTGTGTTCCCACGATGCTTCCTGTCATTTTAGACGAAACTGCCGAATTGCGTTCTAACTGAATGAGAACAGTATGTTCGTTTCTTTTAGAATGCAATTCGGCACTTTGGTGGGGGGTGAGTGACTAGGGGCTTGGGGACGAATGAACGAAACTCCGATCCTATTCTTGCTGTGGCTGCACCTTGCAGCCGCTTAGTAGATAACTCCCTAATTCCCACGGTATAAGGGAGCTATCTACTAAAAGGCTGAAAGACCTAAATTGGTCTTTCAGCCAACTTTACCAATACCAAGTAAAAATTACTTAGTATTAGTAAATAATATGCCCCTACTTGCTATACCGTGAGTAGGGGCATGTCTGGTAAACAGTGAGCAGCCTGTGGCTGCTCACTGTAAAAAAAAAAAAAAAACACAAACAAACAAACAAAAAAAACTATTTGCCCCCACCCCTAAACGACGGGAGGTGGCCCTAAAGTAAAATAAGGGGGGAGACCTAATGTGTGTCCCCCCCCCGGCCCCCACCCCTGCGCGGTGGGTGGGGGTCATAACGATAATGGGGGGGCTAGTGCCCCTCCCCTGGGCGGCAGGTGGGGGCCATAAAGATAATGAGGGGGGGAGACCTGCACGGTGGGTGGGGGTCATAACGATAATGGGGGGGCTAATGCCCGGCCCCCACCCCTGGGCGGCGGGAGGGGCCATAGTGAGAATGAGGGGGGGGGACCTACTGCCCCCCCCGTCCCCCACCCCTGGGCGGCGGGTGGGGGCAATAATGATAATGAGGGGGGGACCTACTAAGTCAATTTCCCCCCACCAAGGTGACTAGGGGTCCCCAAGCCTCTAGTCACCCACCCCCCACCCAAAAAAAAAAGTCCCTACCTACCCCCCTCACCCTAAAAAATAGTGAGGGTGGAATAGAATGAAATGTAAAATAAAATTAAACTTACCATTCGACGTCTTTGTTTTTCTCAAATATTCATTTTTCAGCCCAAAAAAAGGGCAAATAAAAAAAACCATCATAGCCGTCGAATTGAAAATAAAATAAAAATCCCGAGAGCAAAAAAAAAAACCGGACGAAAAAGAAAAAACCCCAGCGCAAAAAAATAATCCATCTTCACCCATGGAGGGCTCCACGCAGACTGAGCTCCGCAGGGCGGGTGAAGGCTTATAAAGCCTTGCCCCGCCATGCAATTAGGCTAAGAACACTCTGATTGGTGGGTTTAAGCCAATCAGAGTGCTCTTTGTCATTTTACACAGCTTAAACCCACCAATCAGGGACGAATAATTTTAAACTTTTTATTGAAACAAATTGGTTGTTTTTTTTTTAGAAGATGAACTTTTAAATGTTTTTATGAGAAAAAGGAGGAGAATAAAAAAGATTTTACTACATGTAGTCGAGGTGAAAGAAAAGGGAGAAAAAATGAGCTTTGAAATTAAACATTCACACTTTAAGAACAAATCACACATTCCAGTCTTTTGTGGTTTAATTTTAAAAGAATTTGACAAATTGTCTAATAAAAATAGCAGAGAAAATGTATCCACAAAAAATTAAAGGAGAATTATGATTTAGTAATTAGGCAAACTGATAAAGGAGGGGGGAAAGTAATCTTATATCGGGATGATTATTTAAAAGAAGCACAAGGGATATTAGGTGATACAGAAACTTAAAGTTTTAAAGACTAATGGAAACTTTCAAAAAACAATTGGGTGATTTGTTAGACAAAGGCCTACAAGATAAGGTTATTAATAAGGAAGAATTTGAGTATCTTATAAGGGCACGAGGTTTTATTATTTGCCAAAAATCCATTAAAGGTTAGAGAATCCACCAGGTAGGATGATTACAAGCAATGTATCTGAATATGTAGATTACTTTTTATAACCTTATGTAACATGTGCACAGTCCTATCTTAAAGATACAGTCCAAATTATTAAGGAAGTGGAAGGTTTGAGTTCGAAAAATAATGTCTTTGGGTTACGGTAGATGTCACCTCTCCACATATGCGGCACAACCATGGGCACCAGATTCACGCCAACAATTTTGTAGTAAATTTGGAATCAAATTACATCTAGAAGAATAACCCGATTGGTGCAAATCTGGTGCTTTGGATGCGGTATAAAGATAATGTTTTAATTGTCTGGAAGGGTTAAAGAGTATTTTTAGATGAGATTTATCATATATAAATCCAAATTACTGTGGACTAAATTTTACAGCTGATATTGAGCAAATGAATATACATTTTTTTAGATCCAACATTTTTTTATTAAAGATGGAAAAGTTAGTAGTAAAGCCTATTTTAAGCCAACAGATGTGAATAGTTTTATCGAATTTTCCAGCTGTTACCATCTGAATTGGCTACAAAATATCCCAAAAGGACAACAAATGAGAATTTTAGAAACTGTACAGTCAAAACGGATTTTAGAAAAAGAATACAGATTATAAATATTTTTTTAAAATATTTTTTTTTAAATAACAGGTAGATTATATAAAATAGATTTTAAATAACAGGTTTACTAGTAGACATTACCCGAAAGACCTCTTAAGAGAAATTAAAGTAGAAAGTTTAACCCCTTAAGGACACGACATGTGTGACATGATTCCCTTTTATTCCAGAAGTTTGGTCCTTAAGGGGTTAAAGAGAGAAGATCTTTTAAATAATCAAAAGAAGGGGATCACAGATAAACTAAATACAATAAGAAAGGCACATTTTTATTAGGAAAGCTATTAACAAGTATTGGCCTAAAGGTACTCCCCCCAAAAAACTCTTATTTAACTATTATTTATAGAACAAAGGAAAAACATCAGGTCTGAAAATAAGAATGATCAAAAATCAAATCAAATCAAAAAATTGTATCAGCTGTCAAAGCAAGAATGTGATATTTATTAGAATGTAAATGTGGTATACTATACAGTTGCAAGAAAAAGTATGTGAACCCTTTGGAATGATATGGATTTCTGCACAAAGTCATAAAATGTGATCTGATCATCATCTAAGTCACATCTCACTCTCAGCAGACTGTGATTGTCTATTGTTGTGACTTAGATGATGATCAGATCACATTTTATGACCAATTTGTGCAGAAATCCATATCATTCCAAAGGGTTCACATACTTTTTCTTACTACTGTATGTTGGGCGTGCAATTAGAAAATTACATTTCAGACTTTTAGAACATTATAATGGTATTAACAAAAAACGTTTCAAACTTTGTTTTTGTTTTTTTTTTTAAATAAAAAGAAGTATAAATGAGGAACACAACTGCAGAATTTCCAAATTGGTAACCGTACCATTAAAACAATCTTTAACCCCTTAAGGACCAAACTTCTGGAATAAAAGGGAATCATGACATGTCACACATGTCATGTGTCCTTAAGGGGTTAAACTAAGAAAAGAAAAATTTAAGAAGTCCCTGGAAGAAATGCAACGGAGTAAATGAATTATTCCAACCTCCAAATTAATGGATATTTAAAAGGACACTATAGTCACCAGAACAACTACAGCTTATTGAATTTGATCTGGTGAGTAGAATCATTACCTTCATGCTTTTTGCTGTAAACACTGTCTTTTCAGAGAAAATACAGTGTCTACATTACAGCCTAGTGATAACTTCACTGACCACTCCTCAGATGTCTGTTAGAGATTCTTCCTGGGTCATGGCTGTCTAAAATGCATCCAAACATTCATTATCTTCTCCCTCTGCATGCAGACACTGAACTTTCCTTATAGAGATACATTGATTCAATGTCAGTCTCAGCCAATCCTATGGGGAAGCATTGTCATTTGTTCAGGCTACCACTTCTGATGATGTCAGCAGGCAGGTCTAAAGGAAACAGGGACAAACCATGCAGCTTCAGACTTAAATACAAGTAAGATTTTACTATATTTAGGGAGGCATGAGGGGCTAGATGGTGGTTTTAACCCTATAGGGTCCGGAATACATGTTTGTGTTCCTGAACCTATAGTGCTCCTTTAATTTGAAGTTAGACTAAATAACAGAATAGTAGGTTGCACAGCAATGTATTTATAAGCAGGAGTTGCAGCAACAGTAGCAGTTATTAGCAACCATGTTATTGCAATAAATAGTGTACCAGATGTAGCAAAGTTGCATGAAGCCAAGGTTAACTATAAGAGTGAATCCAAATATACTTATGAAACTTGAGGCGTCTTCAGTGAAGTTGTGGATGGTCCTTAAACAGTCCGGTTCTTTGGGGCAAGAGAATTCAGCAACATCGGTAATCCAAGCAGGTTCCTGGGTTGGAGAGGTCGGCGAAAAGGGTTGGTACATGATAATCAATAGGTAAGAGCTCAGCTCAAAGGATTTTGTCTGGATGAGCAAATTAACTAAGCAATTTGCATTGGTGTGGCTTCCCTATAAGACGAGGAAGACTCATGTCATACACATGGGAGGAGTCTCGAGCGGCGAAAACCGGAAGTAAACTCAGAGGGATCAAGGTTTGGTAAGATCTGACAGGACACCTTACCCAAGGAGCACACTCAAGGACCTATCCATATGACAAACAGAACATGATGAAACCTATGAGGAAAGTTTTATTGTGATGAGGCCACCAATATTATCTGCTTGACAGTTCACAGGTTTTCTTGATCCCAGGGTGTCCTGCTAAAGGAGAATCATGAATCATTTGTAACACTTATTTTCGTAATGTAGGGGAAACATATTTTATCTTCTTTACAGTATATGCCATTTCTTTTCTGTAATACAGGTTTAGAAGGTGGATCAAACTCAGAGGGGGGAATCGTTTTAAGTTAATCAATAAACATAGTGGTTATTCCGATAAAGGACTCTGGTGGAAAGATAGTTGTAGGATTATCATGGAATGAGGTATTCTGGACAAGGGAAAATAAAAGACAGACAAGGGCTGCGCCACATGTCATAGGATAAAATAAAGTAAAATATAATAATATAAAATAAATACTGCGAGTCTTATTCCAGGTGTGCAAATTGTCACATAAAAAAATTGTCTCTTATTCGGGAGGTAGGTTTTGTTGTCTTTAGTCTCTGTATGTGAGTGAGAAAGAAAATAAATAACCTGATAGAGCAGTAAGTCGGGGCTAAGTAGACCTGTTAATAATAAAAGTATTGCACTCACATTTAAGAGAGCTATAACCAGCTCTAGTATGGATCGCCTATTGTGGTATAATCCCCACTTATGGGATATGGTGGTGGTAGGTCTCGACTGGTAGTTGTCTAGATGCTGGGGGAGAAAATAAGTATAGCCACAGATAGTGCTCTCAGTAAGACAATAATAATTGTGTTGAATATAAAAATTGTACTTACAGGTAGAGAGCAGGCTCACTGCTCTGTGGTGACAGCGTTGGTGGTATAATCCCCACCTATGATTTGCTCGATTCACTTGCCATCTCACACCAAAAGAGCCATCAAGGAAAGCTTGTCCAGATCTACACTGCCCCAAAAAATTAAAGGGAACACAAAAATAACATCCGAGATCTGAATGAATTAAATATTCTTCTGAAATACTTTGTTCTTTACATCGTTGAATGTGCTGACAACAAAATCACTCAAAAATGGAAATCAAATTTTTCAACCCATGGAGGTCTGGATTTGGAGTCACACTCAAAATTAAGGTGGAAAAACACACTACAGGCTGAGCCAACTTTGATGTAATGTCCTTAAAACAAGTCAAAATGAGGCTCAGTATTGTGTGTGGCCTCCACGTGCCTGTATGACCTCCCTACAATGCCTGTGCGTGCTCCTGATGAGGTGGCGGATGGTCTCCTGAGGGATCTCCTCCCAGACCTGGACTAAAAGCATCTGCCAACTTCTGGACAGTCTGTGGTGCAAAGTGACGTTGGTGGATGGAGCCATGATGTCCCAGATGTGCTCAATTGGATTCAGGACTGGGAAACGGGCAGGCCAGTCCATAGCATCAATGCATTCGTCTTGCAGCCACATGAGGTCTAGCATTGTCTTGCATTAGGAGGGACCCAGGGTCAACCGCACCAGCATATGGTCTCACAAGGGGTCTGAGGATCTCATCTCGGTACCTAATGGCAGTCAGGCTACCCCTGCCAAACCGGTCATGCAGGAGGATGTTGCAGGCAGCAGAACATCCACGGCGTCTCCAGACTGTCATGTCTGTCACGTGCTCAGTGTGAACCTGCTTTCATCTGTGAAGAGCACAGGGTGCCAGTGGCGAAGTTGCCAATCTTGGTGTTCTCTGGCAAATGCCAGAAGTCCTGCACGGTGTTGGGCTGTAAGCACAACCCCCACCTGTGGACGTCGGGCCCTCATACCACCCTCATGGAGTCTGTTTCTGACCGTTTGAGCAGACACATGCACATTTGTGGCTTGCTGGAGGTCATTTTGCAGGGCTCTGGCAGTGCTCCTCCTGTTCCTCCTTGCACAAAGGCGGAGGTATCGGTCCTGCTGCTGGGTTGTTGCCCTCCTACAGCCTCCTCCACATCTCCTGATGTACTGGTCTGTCTCCTGGTAGCGCCTCCATGCTCTGGACACTACGCTGACAGATACAGCAAACCTTCTTGCCGCAGCTCGCATTGATGTGCTGGATGAGCTGCACTACCTGAGCCACTTGTGTGGGTTGTAGACTCCATCTCATGCTACCACTAAAGTGAAAGCACCACCAGCATTCAAAAGTGACCAAAACAGCCAGGAAGCATAGGAACTGAGAAGTGGTTTGTGGTCACCACCTGCAGAACCACTCCTATATTGGGGGTGTCTTGCTAATTGCCTATAATTTCCACCTGTTGTCTATCCCATTTGCACAACAGCATGTGAAATTGATTGTCACTCAGTGTTGCTTCCTAAGTGGACAGTTTGATTTCACAGAATTGTGATTGACTTGGAGTTACATTGTGTTGTTTAAGTGTTCCCTTTATTTTTTTGAGCAGTGTAGTTCATAGGGTAATTGCAAAGATCGTGATCATTTGATCATACACCGATACCGCTGTTTGCTCCTATCCCCTGGATTCCAGGAATGTCAGCACCACGTGACTTACTGGTTTCGCCCTGGGTGGGCTTTCTCAAAGTGGGGATTATACCACCAGTAAGTAACGTGGTGCTGACATTCCTGGTGTTCAGGGGAGAGGATCAAACAGCGGTATCGGTACAAGTCAAAACAAGGCCAAAGTCAAATACCATAAAACAAGATCAGGAACGCACTCTCCGATAACCATAGGCATGAAACCACGACAGGGCAATGAGCAACAGGAGATTTGCGTTTAAATGCTCTGGATCCGATTGACTGTAAAGAGACCCCAAAGGCAATTACCAGGTGTGCATGATTGCTGCTCAGCTAAACCCCCCTGTGGATTTGATTGGCCATGACCAGCCTTTGACCCCAAAAGTAATTACCAGGTTTCATGTGCATGATTGCTGCTTGGGACAACTTTTCATATCAGGACAGTAATATTGCTCGGCACAACTTTTCCTGTCAGGACAGTAAATGCCATTAACCACATCTTTATGTGCGTATGAATACGTGACAGTACCCCTCACCTGAAGACCGCCCACTGGGCGAGCAAGACCAGGTTTGAGAGGAAACTTGGTGTGAAAAGAACAAATTTTATGGCCAGCATGGATATCAGAAACCCGAGAACGGTCAGCAGGCCCATACCCCCTCCAATCAACCAAATACTGTAAAGAACCACGAGAAAACCTGGAATCAATGATGGAGGAGACTTCGTACTCCTCCTGTCCAGAAATGACCAAAGGAGGAGAGGGAACAATCGGACTTGTGTACCGATTGCAAACAAGCGGTTTGAGCAAGGACACATGAAAAGTATTAGGTATACGTAAGGACGCTGGAAGGGCCAGAGAATAAGAAACAGGGTTGATTCTCCTAACCACACAAAAAGGACCAAGGAACCTTGGAGCAAGCTTCATGCTGGGAACCTGTTGCGTGAGGATAACCAAACCTGATCACCCACCTGGTAAACTGGATTGGCACTCCGCTGTTTATCCGCATGAAACTTAAAGCCAGCAGCCACAGTTTCAAGAGCGGAGTGAACCTTAGTCCAGGTATCACGAATAGAGGTAAGGTGATCCATCCAGAGTAGGGCTAGCCCATCAGAAAACACAGCAGGGAGAACAGCAGGATGACGACCTGTATTGACAAAAAACTGACTATGCCCAGATGAGTCATGGGTAGCATTATTCCTTGCAAATTCGGCCCTGGGCAATAATTCAGCCCAGTTAGGCTGTGTACTATTCACGAAGCAACGTAAATACAGTTCAAGTGATTGGTTTGCTCTTTCAGCCGTACCATTAGTTTGGGGATCATAAGCAGAGGAAAATGACAATTCAATGCCCATCTGTTTATTGAATGCCCTCCAGAACCATGACACAAATTGGGAACCCCTGTCAGACAAAATATTTTGAGCAATACCATGTAGCCTGACCATATCGCATTTAAATATGTGCACAAAGTCCTGAGACAATGGCAATTTCTTTAAGTGGAGTAAAGTGTGCCATTTTGGAAAAACGGTCAACTACCATGAGGATGGTAGTATACCCATTGGAACTTGGCAGTTCAACAATGAAATCCTTTGATAAATGAGACCATAGGATACTGAGTATAGGAAGTGGCTGTAACAATCCACACAGAAGTTTATGAGGAACCTTCCAAACTGCGCAGACAGAGCAGGTTTCTACATAATCTTTAAAGCGGCACTGTCATGCCGAATCCCGTTTTTTTTTAACCCCCATCCCGCCTCCACTACATCCAATTGACCCACTAGTCACCCCCAAATGCCCCTAAGCCCCCCACATTACCTATTTTTAAATCCTTATTTTCTCCCCCGATCTTGATTCAGGGCGCCGCCATCTTTGTGTGGGTAGGTGAAGTCCCTCAGGGACACGTCATCTGCCCACACTAGGCAGACTGTGAGATTCCCGCACATGCCCAGTGAAACACCTGGACATGCGAACGGGAATTTCATCTATTCATTCATTCATCAGACAGACGAATGAGTGAATAGAAATATCAGCCGAACAAACAAACACAATGTATCAGTCAGTGTTTGTTTGTTCGTTTAGTTTATTACAAGGAGGGAGCTACCGGCATGCAGCTCCCTCCTTGTAATATGTAACTATAGAAGCGGCAGGGAGCAGTGCTCCCCACCACTTCATAAGCCCCCCAGTACACCCTCTCACTCTATGGGGGTCAATATGACCCCCATAATAGCACAAGGGAGATTAAAATCTCCCAAATGCCCCTACTCGCTATACCGCGAGTAGGGGCATGTCTACTAAACAGTGAGCAGCCTATGGCTGCTCACTGTTGAAAAAAAAAGACATAAATTACAATAAGGGGGGCGGACCTATTGTCCTCCCCCCCTCCCCCACCCTGAGTGGCGGGTGGGGGCCATGAAGATAATGAGGGGGGGGGAGACCTACTGTCCCCCCCCGGCCCCCACCCCTGAGCGGTGGGTGGGGGCCCTAATAAAACAATAAGGGGGGGGACCTACTGTCCTCCCCCCCTGGCCCCCACCCCTGAGCGGTGGGTGGGGGCCCCAGTAAACAATAAGGGGGGGGACCTACTGTCCTCCCCCCCTGGCCCCCACCCCTGAGTGGTGGGTGGGGGCCCTAATAAAACAATAAGGGGGGGGACCTACTGTCCTCCCCCCCTGGCCCCC